TCTGGGTTCGAATCCAGCCTGGGCAGGAAAAGTTCATGAGACTTATCTCCAATGAACCACCAGAAAACCGGAAGTGGAGCTGTGGTCTTGAGGGACTTCAGGGACACCACCTAGGCCCTGAGTTCAAGCCCCCACGACAGACAAAAACCTACTAATAATGATCCTCGGTGAAATAAATCACCCCAGTATCCTTTGATTCCCACGTAAACCCTCTGCAGGAAGGGGGCTATTAGCTCCATTTTAGGGTAGGGAAACACTTCCCAAAGCCATCAAGTACGGAACAGAGCTGGGACTCGAACTCAGGAAAGTCTTGAGACGCAGAGGTGGGCAGCGACAGACATGCCACCACCGGCAGGGTGGGAAAGGTGACGGGGCCTTCCCAGATGGCTCCTGGGTGCCAGGAGACATGGCAGAGACCAGCGGGCAGGGCAGGGCAGGGCAGGCGAGCTGGCATTTATTTTCGGCCTGATATTTTCATGCGATGAGCTCAGGCGGAGGCGGGGAAGGCCCAGGCCGGGACAGAGCCCGTCTGTGTGGACGGCTCCTAAGTAGAGCAGCTGGCATTCCAGTAATAACAAACCCAAGAGGTTGGTGCACTTTCTCACCCCCACCCCCGGGGGAGTGGAGAGACTGGGGGGGGAGGAGGGGACATGACGCAGGCGCACTCTGCAAAGAAAGGTTTGGGGGGGGGGTCGGGCTGGTTTATTTCAGGAGAAATGGATCGGATGATGGGCGATTTTTATACCACAAAATGCTTTTAGGGCTTAGATCAGAGGAGAGGAAAATATGACTGAAGGGCAGTGAAGCAAAAAATAAGTGAATAATAAAATAGCCACACACGCATCTGTATTCATCTCCACAGAACGTGCAACACGCCGTTGTAACTCACAAACACCTGGCACCCAGGAGGAAAATGTCTTTTCATAGAGCTGACCGGGGGTGGAGGGAAGGGCTTCAGTATGGAGGTATACAAGAAAAGCCATCCTGGGGGGGAAACTGAGGCCCTGGGAACGGGCCTAATCACAGAGAGGAGTTACGATTAGCTGTAAGGTTAAGCAGACCCTTTGTGTGGTGAGCTCCTGAATCTGTTATTTATTTTTGCCAGCCCTGGGGCTGGAACTCAGGGCCTGGGCACTGTCCCTCTTAGGTCAAGGTTGGTGCTCTACCACTTGAACCATACCTATACTCCCCGCTTTCTGCTGGTTAAATGGAGATAAGGGTCTCATGGACTTTCCTACCTAGGCTGACTTTGGACCAAGACCTTCCAATCTCAGGCTGTTGAGTAGCTGGGATTACAGGTGGGAGTCTGTTGAGGGGGCTGGTTCTAATGGATTGTGTATGGAAACGTGTGTCTAGGGGGTAAATCCTGGCAAACTCCAATCCTAGCAAACCCGTCCCAAGACACCTCCACTCCCAGGTTTCCTGATAGTACAATTTCCTTATTCTGGGGCTATTTATTCTAAGACCCCATTGATGGGTGGAACTGCAGAGTTCCAAACCACACACATCCTGTTTTTCTTTTCTTTTCTGTACCAGTTCTGGGGCTTGAACTCAGGGCCTGAGTACTATCCCTGAGCTTCTTTTGCTCAAGGTTCTACCACTTGAGCCACAGCCCCACTTCTGGCTTTTTCTGTGTCTGTGGTACTGAGGAATCGAACCCAGGGCTTCGTGCATGCTAGGCCAGCACTCTACCACTGAGCCATATTCCCAGCCCCCACATCCTGTTTTTCCAAAGCACCCAGGAGGTGCTAAGACACGGTGTCTTTGCAGTCTTTCAGAGATTGGCTTACAGCCCTCTCATCCATGTGCCTCAGTTTCCTTATTTGTATGGATGGAGGGGGGAGCTTGAACTTGGGGCCCCATGTTCTCCCTTAGCTTTTTCACTTAAGGCTGGTGCTCTACCACTTGAACCACACCTCCCATCCTGGCTTTTTGCTGCTTGAGCGATTAAAAAGTATCATGGAGCCAGGCATCAGTGGCTTACACCTGTCATCCTAGCTACTCAGGAGGCTGAGATGTGAGGATCACCATTCAAAGCCAGCCAGGGCAGGAAAGTCCCTGTGACACTCTTATCTCCAACGAACCATCAGCAAACCAGAAGTAGGGCTGTGGCTCAAGTGGTAGGGCGCTCGCCTTGAGCTGAAGAGCTGAGGGACAGCGCCCAGGCCCAGAGTTCAAGCCCCACGACCGACAAATAAAATACTGTAAGGTTTATTCCCCACCTCCCAGGGACAAGGCCTGTCCTCTGGTCAAGCTAGGGTGGGGGTGAGGCGGGGAGCTTTTTGTTAGGGGATGGAGACAGCCCAGGCAGGGCCTGTAACCCCGGCCAGCAGCCACAGCGTCAGAGTGAAGAGCAGGACAGCTCCATCCGCAGGCTCCAGCCTGTCTGGAGAGAATCACATTTAATTTGCATTTCACCCCAGAATCATCAATTAGCTTCCTCCAGAATGATCCAGGCACTTCCGTCCACCGCGCTTCACAGAAGGTCAGCTAGTATTTTTCTTTTGTCTTGGCGTGAGTCCTGGGGCTTGAACTCGGGGCCTGGGTGCTGTCCCTGAACTTTCTTTGCTCGAGATGAGTTGTGCTACCCGTGGAGCCACAGCTCCACTTCTGGCTGTTTGTTTCGGTGGTTTATTAGAGATAAGAGTCTCGTGAGCTTTCTTGCCCCGGCTGGCTTTGAACCTCCATCTTCAGATCTCAGCCTCCTGAGTAGCTAGGATGACAAAGGTGTTGAGTCCCAGTGCCCGGCTGCAGGGTTTTTGGGAGTTGGTGGTTTGTTTTCTGCCATGCTGGAAGTCTTGGGTTTATCAGGCAAGTACTTTATTTCTCAGCTACAACCCCAGCCTGAATTAGGCTTTAACTATGGCCCTCGAAGTTGTTAGAACAGACAAAGAGGTGTTTGGGGGGAACACACTAGCTAGAGACCTAGTTTCTTATGTTTTCCACCAGCCCAAGAATCTTCCCAGACATCCTCATTCTGTGCATCAAGCACCAGGTAAAGCCGGGCACCAGTGCTCACGCCTGTAATCCCAGCTATTTCGAAGGCTAAATCTTGAGGATCAAGGTTCAAAAGCCCAGGCCAGGCAGGGAAGTCTGTGAGACTCTAAGCTCCAATGAACCAGCAAAAAGTCAAAAGTGGAGCTGTGGGCTCAATGGCTAAGGACCTGCCTTGTGTGAAAAGGCTAAGGAATTGGTGCCTAGGTCCTGAGTTCAAGCCCCAGGACTGACACACACATGAGAAAAAGAAGGATCAGAAACACCATGATGGGGGCTGGGAAGGTGGGTCAGTGGTAGA